ATTCGAAAAAGAAAAAAAACAAATAAATAAATCTTACTTTTAAACAGTAACTTCCGCATAAGTAATAATAATATACTTTATCATTTATTATTGCGGATCGACTTTTTATTTTCTATATCCTGTATACGTTTTTCTATAATTTTTTGCGTGTAGAAAAGAGGGCAGAACGAAGTATCATTGGTTTTGATGGTAAACAGCTGGTTATCACATACAACGATAGACCCTGGTTTCAATAACTAAATAATAACAATATCATTATATTAGTTCATATCAAAACAAATATAGAATTGAATTATAGGTACACTAATTGTAATATACATATCAATATAATTGATGCCAGCAAACAATTAGCTTATTAATTTATTATCAATATTGACATTAAATTTTATTCCGCATAATTCATTAAAGAAATTAAAAACACATTATATTAAGTTGGACACATAACCTTATAAGAATAAAAAATTTAAACTATAATACATTTAACGTTTTATAATATAATAATATATTTCGTTTAAAAAATTAAAAAATTTCAGGATTATAATATGTTATTACATTACAGAAAGAGCTCTGTTTCCCGGTTACCTCGCTCGCACGGCCCATTTAATTCATGGTACGACTATGCTCATTTAATGTAGGGAAGAGATAAATATCGAAAAGTTTTTTTTTCTGATTAATTTAAAAAACAGATATTGTATTTCAGAGTGGTGCACGGTATAGTAATTACAAGATGGTGCTTTAAGAAACATCCTGTAAAAGGATAACCATTTATAAAAATGACATAGTTAAGAATATTACCTCGAAGTCCAATTCAAATTCCTGTCCTGTAAGTTTATATAACAAACCACGCACTACGCCATCCTGAAAAACACATCAATGTACATAACATAATTATGATTGATAGGGATCACATAAAAACAACTTTTTTTTTCATTCAAGAAAAAAAAAAAAACCTTAAGTCATTGTACTGTAATCTACATCATGTTTTACTCACCGAACAACGGGTCACAACAAAACAGTTGACCTCCTCCACAATATCATTCTCTGGTAATTTGAGAGCTACCGCGGACACTTTTGTGGTTTCGGGCGTCGTAATCAGCTATAACATAGTTAAATCTTATTAAATCATATTAAAGGTTTAACTTCATAGATATATTTCGAAATTATCAACAGGTAAGAAATTATTTTTATGTAAAAAATATCTGACTTCAATATGATCGGGGCATATGCTGTACATAGTTCCTAATTTTAATATTACGAATACATAAGGGAATTTTTAATTATTTATAACACAATAACGATTTTTATTTCCATTTGATAATGTACATTAAGTAATATATATTGGCATTTTCCGATTCCGATTAAACTCATGTAGTTTTTATTTGGGCAATCGAATTTGTCTGATGTTCTTAATTTATTTATAGGTTAGCCACCTGGTTCGAAATAAAAATTGATTTTTTCTTAAATGTATGCAAGTTCCGGACATCAATAAAAAATGTGCAGATAGTAAAGTTATAAGGTGTAACAGTGTGACTAACAGTTTTTTTAAAATAAATAACTTAAACGGATAGTTTTTAAACAATATAACGTTAAAGTAAATTTTTCTT